ACATCTCAACACGCCACCAAATACCATTAGGAATCACCAGCTCACAGCTCAACAATAGAGGTACATTTCCTTTAGATGCGCAAAAGCGGTGCACGGCATCCCCATAGCGTCCTTCCACAAGCTTGACGATTCCTACTTGGCCATTTGCATACACTTCTCTATCACGTAATTGGGCGTGCAATCTATTGTGAGACAAGAAGCAGGAATCTTGCTGAGTTTATCTCGCACATGATAATCATTTAAGGCGAGGACAGTACGTTTAAACAACGCCAGACACAATAACACTGTTTGACGTAAGCAGCCAACGGAAGTTGAGGTGACAAATGCTCATGAACAAACGACCCGTTGATGTTAAGCGCAGCAGATACTCCCAACCACGGGCCTTCCAATTCCACCAGCAATGCTGGAATTTCATATTCTTCTGGTCAATGTAGTAAGCAAAGTTTTGCATTCCGGCGTTGCCTAAACCTCGTTCCACCTCGACTTCCAAGTTCATGCATAGCAATCCTCGCATTCCAGCCACGCATCGCCTCTCTTCGCGATGTATAGCTCTAATTTGCTGGCAGCGAAGTCAAACTTCTGCTTTTCCGCAATGGCATCTTCAAGTGGTCCACCGAATGGCTAGCGTCAATGTCCACAGGAAACGCGTTTCCTTTCACACACGTCATTGTACTAAATGCTGCATTTTATCTTGAGCCACACATTGCAACCTCGCGTCAATTTTCGGTAATATGACATCATGTAACATGCGTGTTTAATGCATCAATGGAGACATCTCATGGTTAGCAATATCGTTGCTAATAATATTCGCTCTGTTGTTTTGCAGATTGAATGCACAAAGCAGGTAATTTTCGCACGTGGTTGAGCTATGTTACAAACAGAATAAGCTCAAAGCTATTCGAAGATCAATACACTTCGCTTAAGCAAATCGTTCTTGCGCAAACACACCTTTAGCAAATGAGACGGGGTATGTACGTACCGACACATAAAACTATGTACTATTGATGGCTATGATGGCATTGTGTCCATGGGACACCTAGCCTCATACTATGCATCATATATGCAGCGGGGCTGCCGTAGCTCCTTTAACAAGAGGAAGCTTACCAAGGTCACCGACCTTACGTTCTATGCTAGAATCAGTACGAGTGCAGCGGATCGCAATTCGCTACCTTCAAGATAACCCAAAACCTTTACCAAGGCAAATACACTCTTCCGTTTCTAATTGAAGCTCTATTTATTATTTGCGGGAGCCACCAATATCTAAGACTTAAGGTTCTCCTAATCAAAGTGTAAGCCTGATTAATATGCATAACTACTGGCAGTACCGCCACGTAGTGGCTTCTTGTTACGGTGTAGCCACACCATTGCGTGATTACTCCAACTGTTGTAATACATATCTATGTATGGTGACACCATCTTGTGCAACCTGTCTTTCGTACAAGGGTACGTGTTACCCCGTTTCACTTCACCCATTAAAATTGTGAATATCCCCAATTCACATTTAACTGTCGCCTCATACGAGGCTCGCGTGTCTGAGACACCTTCACGTTCTTTAAAAACAACTTTAAACACTCTTAGCTCTATGAGCCCTGTGTCTACGACACGCAAAACACACAGCCTTGCCAGTAGCGAGGGCGCCCGTGGGCAAAGCGCTTCTTCTATCTCCTCCTCTTCTTCTTCTTCTTCTGCATAGCACACGTCTCCGGACAGTACGTCTGCGGCTTTACGGGAAGCACATCCCAAGCCCTTGGCGACCGAGCGCATCACACCCGCCCCAGCCGACGACGAGTTGGATACTCCTTTCCCAGCATGGGAAGACGAGGGGGATGAAGTGCGCCAACGGCGCGACGTGAGCCCAGTTCGCATCTTGCAGACACCGTGTCCGTTCCCCGACCTCTCGGCTTCCGAGCGAATTGGAATTTTTACCAATCTCCTCGACGAGGCACAGAAGCTGCAATCGGAGGCTGCTGACAGGGCGGCTCTCCTGCGCTCGTATCCACATTCGGCCTTAGACCCTCGTGTGGAATTTGACTTTCGCTCGGCGGATCCCGCTACTGAAGCGAAAGACGCGATCACTCGATCGTTAGGCGTCAGAGTAGTAGGGCCCTGGGCCACTACACAAGCTGAGCTTGACCAGCGGAAAGCTCTGCGAGCTCGCTTTCTGGTACCTCAAGAAATCCCAATGGATAGGTACCGCGCTTGGCTTCGAGCTCAAAGAGGAGGCACTCCTGTACCCGCAATACGGACAATTCCTATGGTCACACCCCTGGCGAAACCACTGCAGATGATGAGGAGATCTTTCCGCGATGGGTGCAGCAGCAGCAAGACCTTTCCTCACTGTCCACCTTACAGCGGAGCCACAAGAAAGTGAATGTAATTATACTATACAAAAATTATTGGATATAGCCAAGATGGGGGGGCAAATAGCGCTTTCCTTTATTTATCGCACAATGAGTTTAAAATTATCAACAAATGATTTGACTTATTTCTAATTCATTCCGAGCGAATTAACGCAATATTAGGCCATCCAACAGACTCAAAATTTATCACACAGCTTGAATATACAGTTCGAGGCCTAAATTGCCGTTAGTCACAGCGCCCTGCATAAAATGATCTCCACCGCCATGTCGATTTGCATGAAGTTATTGTGATAGAAGATCGTACTTACTAATGTTAGACCCGCAATCGCGATAGAGCTAACACGTATTGGCCAGTTGTATGGCCTACATGCAGTGTAGCCGTGCCTCTAGGCTAATGAAAGAGCCGTTTATGTGCTACGCTGAGTGGAGTATATCTGTAGCAGGGGGTTTATGTTTATATGAAAAATCGAATCAAATTAAATACTCACAGTAACTAATTTGGATCCAGTCAACAGTTTATTTAATTCCCAAGGCTGTGAAATGAACGGATGGTATTCGCGAGGCTCTACTTAAATGTTCAAGACTTGCCAAGCGCAACCCGCGTTGCGAGAGGTAGGTGCATTTAGATCCTAACCTGTGCCACAAGTTGTGTCAGCTTGCTCCACTACGCGGTTTAGCTAACCTTGCATCCCGATTTGTCAGGCTCTTGTGTGGTGACCATAAATTATGATTAAGTCTGATATGATGCGCTTTATTCTGTTGACAAAAGGGCTGCGTCTCCATGCATACACTTGGTAATCTATATACACCTCATTACATACGAATACGACTTTAAATCAATGCATAACCGCTATCACGGATAAGACAACCATTTTTCATTCACGTGCTTTGTGTATCCTTCTTCTATCAATTTTAGATGATATGTACTTCAAAACAGGTCGGGGGGTTAATTCCAAACTATGCTCATCAACTACTTCTACACCTAAGCTCCCGTTAATATCGGTTCTGCTATACTCAGCACGAAGATTCACTATGCATTCGGTTCAATTAAAACTTCAATTGGAAAAATAAATCAAATGCAATCGTCTCATATAATTTGGGGCCAGCTGTATGTCTTCAAAATGAGAGTGGTAAGAAGCAAGGCTTATTATCTTACTAACTTCTCGTCATGGCAAATACTAACTATGTATATTTACTATCTCTCAGAATAAAGATATCCTGAATTCTCTGGCTTTTTTTGCTAGCAGTCCACGTGTACCACGAAATTCTCCTTCCAGGAGTTCTAATATCTTTATCAGTTTCGATACCGCAGGTTTACGAAATTACGCAATTTCAATAAAGTAAGTTTAAGCTCTTGGGACCTGATCCAGCTTGAGTCATGAGAAATTGGGCTCTAAATAATCAAAGTTATTAGTACTCCTAGAAGTAAGGGGATGTATCGATATATATTAGCTGACGATGACGATGTATGTACGGATTCAGTTGTTGGTGGTCCATGTGCTTATCTTAGTGAATCGAATGAGATGTCAGCTTTTCTTCACTTCTCCAAATGGTTTGATAACAACATTTCAAGATATGGGACGTTTCGGCAGTTACAGAAGAAGATGACATAGCGATCTAATATCAGACAGGGTCTTGTCTGTCTGTATGCAGTAATGTAGAGAACGTATTCATTTCATAATTGTGCGTTATGAGGTGTCATGTGATTAGTGAAGCCTCATTTGATGCACCTATCGTTATGCTTGTTCCATCAGCCAAACTTTCAAATTAAATCTTAGCGATGTAAAAGTGAATCTTCATACCCTCGATCTGAAGCTTAAGAGAAATGAATCCCATCTTTTGACTTTGATCGTTATGATTTATCTACTGACGTCATCTCAATGCTCACAATTCGTAAGTCTCTGCCATTCAAATACGACATTTTTTGTTTTAATTCGAGCAGAAATCTTTTGACAGAAATAGTATTCAATTCTTATCGTGATGAGAACGCGCCCAGTCGTTTGTTCTTAGCATATTCAGCCTTGACAGTCAGTGATCAAGCTTTTTATCAAGTTCGTTCCGCCGATGATATTCGCGCATTATTGCAGACAACAACCTCAAGTTTGTAGTCGTGGCGGGGCAAGGAAATGGAAAGATTTCTGCTGCAAGATCTTGCTACCAGCAAATTTTGTGTGAGACCTTTCGAAGGAAGCAATATCGGAATCGTCAAAATGGTCCATTAAATGCAGCATCTGAGATTATTCCAGCATCATCCGAACTTCAGAATAAATTGGTGCTATACATACCGCTATCAAAGACTTTCCCAGCAATTTTCTCGTTCCGCAAGATGGTCGGATTATCTACGTTAAGTCTATACTTGCCACATCTAATCCTATCAAATATCAACAGCTCAAAATTGTCTATTTGGATTTGCCACAGCGCAATGAGTTTCAAGGCTTTACTCACATTTTTCTCTTTATCGTCTCAAACGATTATTATGACATTTCACTGTTCAATCCTACAAAACTAATGATAGCAAAAAAACGTAAAACAAAAGTAGATATCGATGTGACGCAGTATGTTGGAGAAATTTTTTTGGCATTAAATCAACGATTTAAGAATTATTTTGGACCACGCTTGAGGCTCAAAAGAACTCGAAACATCCGAGCTCGATACAATCCTGTGAGCAGATCGTGCACAGACGTTTAATGAAAAGCCGAAGATGGCACATCTTGTCGAAGGAAAAACTAGCTTTGGAAGCACATTGGTGAGTTAATACAACAAAAAAAGTTGAATGCAATGCAAATCGCAATGGCCCGGCACTTTCATCCGGACCCGTCAAGATGATCCGCGGGCAACGTGGAAAGTCATACAGTACATTTAGAGACAGTTCATTAAAAGAGCATACTAAGTTGTTGCTTCAGCTACCTTGTCTATTGATTATATTAAAAATAGTGATAATCTCTCATCCTTGCTAAATACAAACGATTCCCCACATGTCCATCAAAAAACCTCCAGTCTTCTCAGCTCAGTGGAAGGTCATGCCACCAGCAATCGAATGCTTATAGGTTTCTATAGCCCACTTCTCAACTCTCGTACATTTTCATTCAAAATCCATAAATTCTAGATAATCGCTCACTTAAATGCTTGCATGATGCAAACAAATCTATGAGAGAGACAATCCTTGCCGACGAGACTTATTCTCAATTCTTGGTAAGGAAAGCAAACTATTATCTGATGAGAACGGTCGCACAAACTCCCCAATATCTAATTCAATGCGTCTGCCCATCCCTAGAGACATATGACAGAGCCTTCACTGAGTGAGAGGCAGTCTCAAAGTTCCTCCTCGCCTTGTTCACAAATTACGCACTTCATGCCTGTTCCTCAGGTTGATAGAGACAGGCTTATTGAACACATAAGTGTTGGCGAGATTCGGATAGAAGTAG